TTTAAATTCTCTCCCCTTCATTTTCATTTTCTCTGTGAGACTTCCCAACATACCACTTCTCTCCTTCTAGTACATTCTTTATCACTTACAAGTTGCATTTCTCTATGAGCATATTTTTCCTGCTTTTTTTAATATTTGGCACCATAAGTCTCTCATTATGTATCATTTCTTCTATTTATTATCATTTCTAACATAACTTTAAAATTCATGATATAGCAGATGAATATATTGTGAAGGAAGCATAGATAACACATGACACTTGCAGAAATACAGCTGGCCCTTAATGCTGTAGTTCCTCCCTCCCTAACCCGTGCTGTGTCTGTGCACTTATGCTCTGCTGTGTTGATTCTCCCATTCTCTTTTCTCTTCAAGTCTCTCTTGGAGCAAAATATTTTGCAGAGAAACTCTGAAGTATCTGAGAGATAACTGAAATCTGGTTTTGGTTTTATAACCAATCAACTAGGGCATGCTGCTCAATATCTGTGTGTCTATTTCCCTTCTCCTTATCTCAAAAAGGGATCCTGGGTCATCTGGGTGGCTCAGTCAGTTAAGAGGGCTAAGCATGGGACTCTTACTTTCAGCTCAGGTCAAGATCTCAGGGTCATGAGATGGACTGGGTGTGGGGCTCTGCTCTCAGGGCAAAGTCTGCTTGAGATTCTCTCCCCCACTCTCTTCGTCTCCCCCTCCCCTCACTTACGCTCACATGTGCTCACTCGCTCTCTCTCAAATAAATAAAAAAATAAAATAAAATCTAAAAAAAGGGGTCCTAATTAGAGATAAACTAGAGATAAGCCAGACAAAGATATACCTGGAAGAAATGCACTCTACACACAGAAAATATTATTGCTCAATTTTCTCTACTTACTGCTCCTCAAAACACCCTGGCCTTCTTTTTGTCTCTTTGTTTTATTAACAGAAATACAAAGAAAAGTCAAGAATTGAAAAAATGAGTACAGAAATAGTACAGAGTACTAAGAAAAGTAAAAACAAGATACTAGAAATAGTAATAAAAGAACAAAGTGCACAGAGGATATCACTGGAACAATGGCATGTACCCTAGGCCAATTTTAACTTTTTATCTGAGAAAATTTAAGAAATTTCCTCTCCAAAATAAGAAAAATTCATTGCAATTATTAATTTCATTCAAATATTCACATAAATGGGAATTATGTTACAGGCTTGTTTAATTGATCACTAACTACTACTAATTGGAGAAAGACTAAGACTACTTCTTTGTTTATGTGACAAAAAGATAGCATTTCTGATGTTTCAGTGTAAAGCAATAAGAAAATAGGATTCCTTTAGTAAAGTGACATTTATCCCAATGTATTAGGAGCATACTTACTATAACACTGTGGAAGCTATAAAGACACAGATATTCAGTTGTGGTTGAAATCACAGCTCTAGAGTCAGACAGATGTTGATTGGAGACATCTATATAGCCACATTTTGGTAAGCTATTTATTTGTTTCTGTTTCTGTTTCTAATCTGCAAAATTGGACTAATAATTATACCTAATTCATAAAGATTAAATTTGAGCTTTTGTTTGACTTATGCCTGTAAGCATATTCTTCTTTGCTATAAAATTTCCATAAAAACATTGAAAAACACAGTCTTAAAATTTCTCCCAACTAGAAGATATTAAGATGCCAACCTAATGCTGTAACTCCAGGTGAATATCTGGGCACAGGTGTGAAGGGAAGGGGTAGCATATCCTGACAAACTGACATGACCTACTTGTATAGCTGGGATTCTGGGACATTCAGCAAACGGCATGTAAGACCACCACTTCAGTCCTCATAGGCCTGTCCCCAGTGGTTAGAATCATTGCAATGTTCTACCTTGAAGACATTGAGTAGCATGAGGTCAAGTGAGGAAATGGCCAAGATACACCTCATCTGTGGTTTGACCTGTCTAAAGTTTTATCACAAAGAGAAATACCTGAGTTGTTGATAATGACTATCAAGCCACACTGTATATAACTCTTCAAAAATAGAGGGTAAATCTTCAAAAATACAAATATAGAAAAGACTAAAACATAACCACTGTTAAAGCATGAATTCTGAGTTCTGACAGACTCTGTGTTTAAATCCAATTTCTACAGCATCTATGTGATCTTTGTTGGGTCATATATCTTTGAGCATCAATTTCCTCAAATATAAAATGGGAATGATAGAACATATGTGATTGTCTTCTTGGTTTGGAATGAAGGTTAAATAAGATAATTTGGATAAAGTAGCTGGCAGAATGCCTGGAACAGAGGTATGCTCTGCAAAGGGAATCCCTTCTCCTTCACTTTGGATATTACATTGCAAAACCACTGGGGGTTTCTTATCATTGATGCCACATCTCTGAACTGAGATGGAATTAAAGTAAGGGTTAAAGCCAGTCTATAGAAACAACTCAATAATCAGGAGAAAAATGAAAAAAAAAAAAAAAAAAACAACCCAAAAACAAACAACAGTCAGTAATTCACTGTTCATTCTACATCGTATAGACTTACTGTGTTTTCATAAAGCAAATTGATTTTTTTGTTTTGTTTGAATTCTTTAGTTGTTCTATTACTGAGTGTTTAGAAGCATTGAATTCTCCAGTTCAGTAACCTGAAATTTACAATAGATTGATTTGCATCCATGTCAAAGTAGCCTCTCCTTTAAGTTCCTACCCTCCAAAGGCCTATTTTCTTTGAAAAAAAAGTTCTGCTTTCATTGTAAGCAAGAGTTAAAATAATATTCTTTGAGTTTATTTAGCAGTTGATTGAATGATTAAATATGTATTTGAGGTAGACAAAAATGAAATCATGTTATTGTACTAGGAAAAAACCCTCACATTAACATTGATTGAGTTTTAACAAATGAGTTGATTAGAGGAAAAGGAAAGAGGAACACAGTTCATCAAATGCAACTTGATGCCAGGTCCCTGGTTTCTCCACAGACCTAATGTACTCTTGTCATAGCACCTTGCAAAAAAAAAAATCAATGGCTGCATTTTTTAGCAATATACTTTCTGATTAATGAATCGTGCACTGAAACCACTGCTTTTCATTTATTTTGTTGTTCTCCCTTTCAAAGAATTTATATTAACTTTCTCTGAAAATTATGGAAGATAATCAAAGTGTCATGCATGTGTACATCAAAGGAGTAGTAGCCATAGCCCAAGTTTGTACTGACTAGTTAAATTTCTGATTTTCTCTGCCATAAGTGAGGACTTAAATTGAAACTAACCCAGAAATATTACAATATAGCAGGGGTCCAGGTATGAACCAGGATGTATTCATAGAATGGTAGAATTCAGCCAGGTCTAGGTAACCCGTGGGACCAGGGAAGTTAAAAGAGAAGGCCATCATGCATGCTAGAAAGAGTAACAAGTCTTCAAAGGGGTTTTGGGTTGAGTATTCAGATTAGAGCCCGGTGTCTATGACTCAAATTTGTCATCTAGTGGCCACCAGAGACCCATATAGGAGTCTTCAGAAGTAGCTGCAGTGGGAGGGAAAAGGAGGAGAGGGAAAGATTAATCACACAAAATTTAAAAAACAACACCAACCAAACCAAAACACTGGACTGTGCCTATTGTTTTCACTAGAAATTCTTTCAGGAGGGTTCAGAACGATGTTTGACCAAAAAGGGTGGGGAGTCCTTCCCTTCCTCAGCAGGAAACTGTGAGACGTCAGTGTGAGGACAGGCCCAGCCAAGGGAAGCTGCTAGAGCTGGGTGGTTGCCCTCTGCAGCAGAAAACCCATAGCCAGGGGCAGCAGAGGCCAGTCCCTTCTCCAACTTAACAGGCAGAGGGGACCTCGGTAGGATCAAAGAGGACTTTTCATTAGCTCGCATGAATTTCCTTCGGAGGTTCCCAGAGCAGTGGCAGACTTTTGAGGATCCATTGTATTATAATTACTGATTCTATTTTAACCCAGGAAGTAAAACCTTGATTAATATTTGTTAGAGAAGAGCATCAGAAAGGCATCCTGGGGTGGTGGGAGTTGCACCAGCTGGGGGTCAACACATTTAGAGAGACTCCTGTGGCCCTACTTACTGTGCGCCAGGCACCGCTCCGAGGGAGCGCTTGATGAGTGCTTTAGGCGCTTAATCCTCACGGCAAGCCCGTGCCTATCCCAATCTTACATATGAGAAAACAGAAGCATAGAGAAGTTAACTGATTTGCCCAGGTCACTCAGCTTGTAAGTGCTATACCTGGGACCTAAAGCAGAAAGCCTAACTCTAGTGCTTGTCCTCTTAGCAACTGACACTCATTATGCCTGACGTAAAGAAGGTGCTCACTAAACGCGTACCAACTTGAATCATTTTAGCATGGGGTTAAAAGTGTCCTGGGTTTATTGTTCTGGACTGAGTAGACTGACTACACTTAAAAGCAAACAGAAAAATGCTTATAGTATACCAAAATGAAATAAAATATCAAATGATCAAAACATGGTGTAATAATTTATTAAATTTTCTGAGTGACCAAGGAAAATTACTTCATGCTTTCAATGTTTTCTCATCCCATAAGGAAACAATATTTCTAGGAGGTTTGGTGGCCCACAGCAAGCCTTGGAGCTGACAAGTAAATTAGTCTGTGTTAATTTACTGGGGCTGGGGCTCCCCGTTGTTTTTCTAGCTCTTCCCTGGGTATCACGTTGCTGCCCAGGCTTGGGAGAGGGGACTGTGCTAACCCAGGCTCCTCCTTGGAGACTGATCAACCAGAATGACAAGCTCTCAAGGCTTGTGCCTCTTTGCTCTTCCTCTCATCTAGTTGCCAGGCAGAGAACAATTCTGATTCAGTATATTATTTAATTATTCTAGTTAGTCATACTGAGAATCAACCAACATTAACCATTAAAAAGGAGAACAGAGGACAAAACACGACATATGACCATCCTGACTTCCAACTCAAAGTGGCACGCCTCCCCCCACTCGGGTCTGAACGAGGCAATTACATAGAAACAATAAAGGACAATTAAATAAATCAGGAAACCCACCAGCCTATTCTCCAGGTTCACTTACCTTGGTGCGAATGATGATTGGCAATGGCAGTAAAACCAACAGAGTGAAAACTATAAGGAGAAACCGGCGATAAACTAAAATATAACTGAGAACTTTCATTGTCCTGAGTAGGAGCCTTTGATAGTGCTCTCCTCAAAATAAGGCAGATGTTAAATAGCCAACGTGGATTAATATTTCTCCAGCCCATCATCATCATTTACTGCCCTAGACTGATCAACATAAGTTAAAATTAAATCTTGATTTTTATTGTTTTACTGTCACAATTAACGTGGAGAGATAAGCCCAAGAGTGTTTGCAAGAAATCACATTCCACTTGCTAGTGTGGCTTGTGAAAGATACAACTATTCTTTCCCTACTTAATTTGTTCACATTAACTAGAATATTGACTGGCTGTATCTAGGAGAAGGCAAAATTGTGAGATTCATTAAGTTTGCCCACAGTGAGGCTCCTCTGGCCCTTCTGACATCCCCTGACTTCTGGGCTCTGCACTTGGGTGGTGCCTCGGGCAATCTCTACTGGATGCCTCCAATGGTCTTCCCAAGAAAGTGCATTTTCAGTGTGTGAATTGAAATAGCAATTCCAATAGTAGGAATTTCAGTGTATGGCAGTGTGAAAGGTAAAGGTTTTGGTACAGATGGATTTTTCTAGGGCTTCTCAGATAATGTGTTGAGGCAACCCTCTACACTGACTGCATGAAGTTTGGCTCAGAGAAGTGCCCCTGACCTCTCTCATTCGGGAATTCTCTGCATTCATTCAAAAGATAAATAACACTGCTTCTGATGTTGAGCAGCATTTCTCTCCCCAGTACCACATGCAGTTGCAAAGTGATTTATCTACTGTTCAAAAGCAAAGTTCTGTATATTTCTTGAACCCTATGGCCTCTTTTGATAGAAAACCAAAAATTATCATAAAGCCTTATATAAGCCCTTCCCTGTTCCACTCTTTCAGGATTGAGTTGATACTATTGTGCTGATATTGACTAAATAATTAACAAGGAATCTGCACAGAGATGGGTCATTGGGGCCATCCAAGGGGTGAGTGTGTGTGTGGGTGTATGTATATGTGTGTGTAAGCACGTGTGAAGATGGGCATAGTTCTAACAGTGATATGGAGGATGTATTTTATTTTTTTTTAAAGATTTTATTTATTTATTTGACAGAGAGAGACACAGCAAGAGAGGGAACACAAGCAGGGGGAGTGGGAGAAGGCCTGAGCCGAAGGCAGACGCTTAACGACTGAGCCACCCAGGCGCCCCTGGAGGATGTATTTTAATACTGCTCAGAGCTAAGGAGTCTGGTTTGTTTCTCATTATGTAGTAAATTAATAACCCAATACTCTTCAACTAAACAACTACTATGCACCTAGCCCTAGGTATAACAGAACACATTTCTTTCTACAATTTATAGTCAATTTCTCTCCATATAAATAACTTTACCCTGATGTAATCTATGGTTAGCATTTAGACCTTATTTCTAATTCCACACTAATGTAACTCTGCTTTCTTTTCCTATCAAAGAAGAAAATTCTTTCACCAACACTCACCATATTATCAATGTAGATGAGAAAGCATTTTTTTCCCCTCTAAGTGTCTAAATTTCTAAAGATACATCAGGAAAATCAGCAAACAGGAAAAAAAAAAAGTCTCCAAACCATAAAGGCACATTACATCTTGGATTTCTTAGGTGAAAAAAAGAGAAGGTAATTGCAAATGATAGTAATGAACAGGAAACAATAATAATAAAAAGTGTAAAAAAAAAACAAAACCTTAAAGAACAGAGTTACTCAAACTGTTTCAATAGGTTTTTTTCTATATAACACCCTGTATAGTTCATTGCACGATTTTTTTTTTAAGAAACCACTTCTGTTCTTAAATTTCCTTAGGCCACCTGGTGAGAGCATTTGAGCCTCACTTTCTTATCTTAAAGGTTTTTACTTTATGAGATGACACCCAAAATGAAAAGGCATTTGTGTGACATTTAACAGAAATGAGGGAACAGTGGCACTCAAACCAGACAGAGATTGAAGGGGAAACTCTTGACATTTGTCAGTGCCTCCTTTCTGTGCCCTATTTTCTCTATTCTGGTACTTTCCTCACCAGATTAAGGCTTGCAGGACCCTCCCTCTAGCCAGCTCAGTCTTCTGTGGGTGCCCCTTATTACAAAATGGTCCCACCTTTCCTTTATGTCCAGCCAATCTCTTGTTTCACTGTCACATAGAGCAGAGATCTGACAGGATACTTAATGCTGAGCATGAATGGCTGATGTGAGCTGCATACCTCCCCAGGGGTCACCAGAGAGTGATACTTGTAATGGGAGACCTTGGCCCCCTTGGAAACATATCTTAGGGTGTCCTTCAAATCACAGCATATTGTTAACCAGTTCTACAATTGTCAAAGTGCACCTCTTCTTGGTACAGAAAAACCTAAATCTCTCTTAATATGTTACAACTGTGTTATATTTGACCTATTTGACCTAAAATGAATTACATCAAGGCATAATCATGGATTACTTCATTTAAAACATGTCCTTTACAAATATAAAGATATTAGAAACATTATTCACTCATTCACAGTTATTTACTATGTGCCAGGGAATTTACACCACCACCTCATTTAAGCTTCAAAACACAATACAAGATATTGGTATTATAGGTGTTGTTATAATTATTTCTCTTTTATAGATTTGGAAACTAAAATTCAAAGAGGCCATGTAAAATGTCCCAGGTACTACATGATATAATAATGATGTAAATCCTGTTCTTTCTGGTTCCTAAGGCAATGATTTTTTTTTTGTACTATGCCATATGTCTACCATAATGACTATGAATGTGACACTAAACACTAAATCATCAGATCTAGAATTTGTATATAGACACATGATTTGGTTGGCTTAGAAACTGAAGGTCTAGGGTTTGCTTTTTTTTATGTTCCTTGAGCCTTATGATTGAACATAACATGTGAAACTTGTGTTCAAGCATAAGCATAAAGAGAAAGAAAGATTCCTTCTGTATGTACTCCAAGTACCTTCATAAAGAAGTTAGACTGTCCAGGATAAGTAAGTTGTATAGACAGTCAACCCGAGGGGAGTGGAAATCAGCTTTTATGTGGCTATCCTACATGCTTCTCTCAGCCTGCCTGGTTTTCTGGGTATCTCTGTCTTATGCCACATTTGCTCCCAAATTTGTGCTTTTCTTCAGGCCTTTCCCTTTTCCAAGAATATGCTTCCCTTCTCTATATTTAAATCCCACAAACCTTGAAGTGTGACTTGTAGACTCATCTCAAATCTGCTGCCTTCTACAGATCTGTCCTGATAATTCCTGACTTTCCACACGCCCACCCAGGAGTCTCACTGGGCCCACTACAGCCAAATAATCTGGAGTGCTGGACGAAAGTACAGAAGCCCTGCCCTGTTGGGTCAAAAGATGGCTTCATGTTTAGTTGGCCTTCTACATAGTTTTCATGCATACTAATATTTGAGAATCACTGACTTGGTATTTGTAAGATACAGTCAGCCTGGAGTAAATTACTTATACTAATTACTATTTTAATAATACATGTAAATCTTAAATCTTCAATAAGACTGCAAACTCTCTGAGGACAGGGGACAGTAATTTACTCCCCTTTATGTCCCTAACAAGGTGCTAGGGACAAGTGAACACTCTGTGAAAAGTTTCTCTAAACTTACCTACAAATATAGATGAATGGGAACCAATAAAGCCTCATTGCCGATAGAGTATGGTTTATAAGATGAGTACTGGGTGTTATACAAAACTGATGAATTGTTGAATACTACATCTGAAACTAATGATGTACTATGTGTTGGCTAATTGAATTTAAATTAAAAGAAATAAGAGCAGTTCTTCAATAGAGTATTAGGTTTGCAGAGAGATGTGGCTTCTTTAATGGGGGAATATTTGCTCCATTGCAAATGTACCCATAAATACTAAGACAAGAAAGTGTGTATACTTTACACTTTGACTAGGAAAAAAAGTCAGAATGCTTTTACTGTGTGTTCCTATTTTCATTCTTAGAATTTTTAGAGTTCAAAGGGCATGGCACTTTTAGTCAATTGCTATTGTTGAGACCATCGAGTCAAACAATATAGGTCAGATTTTCTCCTCACAGTCATTTGTTTCTAAGCTTCGACAAGTCCTTAATTCTGACACTCACTAATGGTGCATCTCCATTTATATATTCTGGTTACGTTATAAATTCCATAACTTCTAGACATTGCACTGTGAAGGGTTTACTCTCTGAGTGCCATATGTGAGCAGTGCCCCCAAACCTTTTTAGACACTATGAAAACTAAGATAATTTTTTCCCTCCTAACTAGCATCTAGTGGTCAGTTTCTTCAGTAATTTTTAATATTTTTTATTTCCTCTGGCCCACTTTTCCATTCTTTAAGGTGAGTTCTCTTGATGAAAGTGAAACATATAGATGATGTATATAGTAAAATGTCCAGGCCCACACCAATTAACTGTATCAATTTTAATTTTTCTTTCCTAATATAAAGGATAAAGCCATCATGTGGGAAGGAAAATCACCCTGGAGACTCCAGGTTCCTGCACAACTCCTAAACACCTGAATTTGTATACTGATTATTAACCACAACTTCAGTAATCATTCCTCCAATGCGCTGAAGTAAATGGCTGACTGAACAGTGAAGATTGAACTGTGTCCTAGGAGGTGAGGACTTGAACTCTCACGAACTGAGAAGCAAAGCACATTCCAAAAGAGGACCTATTTCCAGCAAAAAAAAAAAAAAAGCAGTTGCCAGCACACCTTAGTACTCCAGCCCAGATACAACTGGTCACACCCTCTCCTGGGGTGGGAGGAACGTTTCCCTTTGACCAAGACTGACCCTATCTTTATCTTGGGCTCTCTGGGAGATAAAAGGGAAAAATTTAGGGGTGGAGGGAGGAAGAGGGAGATGTGGAGGAGAAGAGAAGAGGAAAAAGGACATTCTGGAATACTTGGCATGCCATTAGAAAAGAAAGGGGAACTGTCTAGAACTCTGTTTACTTTTGCTCCCTGCCCATCCCTCCCTCCGTCCCTCCCACGCCCAATCACCTTATGTAACAGTCACGTTCCAGCCATCGGTACACGTGAGACA